TAATAAATAATAATAATTAATGATAATGATCAATTGTACTTTTTTGTTACCCGTGGGAGAATTTGGAATATAATGATGACATGTATTTTGTACATAAATCCATAGATCTGTAGACAAACACACAGGTTCACTCCAAAGAGGCTATTGCTGGTTACTACTATGCACTGTGCAGCACCTTGGTTTTTTTTTCTAGCTAGGGTTATTTTGTCTTGCTCAAAGGCACTGATGCTGGCTCAGACTTTCCTTGATGGAAATGAAAACGAGTCTTCAGCTTAATAAAATGATAAGTTAATGTCAGCAGCCTATTTTTATCTTAACCAAGCCTACCCTTACTTGGGAAATCCTGTAGGTGAAACAGTATGTGATGCTGGTGACCTGTAGAGCTTTATTTCCCTTGTATTCCATGTGGGTGGTTGGCGGGTGCTCTTGTGGGGCCTGCTCCTTCTTTCCTGTCAAACATCTGTCGTCCTTATCGCCCCTCCTTCTTTTTTGTGTATGTTACTCTCTTGTAACACATAATCTATTCTTCAGCACTTTATGACCTTATTGTGTTGCAAGTGCTGTAAAACTCTTACTAAAACTAAACTGTATGTATTCCGTGTACAGGGAGATTGCGACCATCACCTATCGCAGCGGCCCCGAGTGGAACGAGAGGTTCGGCCGAGAGAGGATCAGCAGCGATCCACCCTCCCTGTGCCCCACGTTTCTCATCGAGTCCTACCTGGAGCACCAGGGAGAGAGCTTCAGCACAAAGTACGACCCGAACTCGCTGCTCTACATGTCAAAGGTGAGCTGCACTCCCCTCCTCCATAGTGTGATCTTGCACTCATGCACAACACATACTCACAATTGTGCACAACACACGCATACACACACACACACACGTGCACACACACACGCACACGCATTCACACACACATACACACACACACACACTCACGCTCACACACACACACACTCACACACACACACACACACACGCACACATATTCTCTGCTATGGACTCGTGTACAAGCTTTTTGTGGTGCAAGAGACATAAATGAGTAATTTGTTTTCTGGTTTGCTGTTGGCTTTTTACTGATGTGTATAGTTGGTCTGTTTTCTAATGTGGTGTTTTTCGTCTTTTTCTTTCCCAGTTTTGCTTTTGTTTTGATATTCACCTGGTGAAATAGGGCAGTTTTGTATTGTTGCCTTGAACTACCTCTCAAGGCTTCCTTGTTCTTTTTATATGCTGACCTCTTGTCTCCTTATTATGTGGTCAGGCTTATCATCCTGTCTCTTCTGCCAGAGTTGGGGTGCCTTTCAGGTAACCTAATCTTCCTTTTCTACTTTTGTTGTATTTTGCAGAAATGGCATACTTGACATGTGAACTTTAAAAAATAAAGCAACCCCAATAATAAACAAACAAAATACAAAAAATAATGTCTTTTCTGTTCATATGTCTTCTATTACAATCCATTTCCTATGTGACAAAATAGAAGCTGTTGGTTGACTTCGACATCAGGATGACCTTGACCTTGGATGTTTTACACATTAAAACAAATTTCTTTCTGTCCCCAGGCAATGGACATGTTTGATATAGGGGAGAACTACGGCTCTCTGGAGGAAGGTCTCGCCAACGTCGCCTGCCCGGTCATGGTCATCGGTGTTCAGACGGACATCCTGTTCCCAATCTGGCAGCAACGACATCTGGCTGAGGCGCTTCAAGCTGCAGGTCTGCTGGGATATTTAAACTTTTTAAACTATTTATATTTATCTATTTATTTTTCACTCCTTTCAGTATCTGATTTTGTCAAAGTTAGAGTCTGGAGGATGAAGAGAAATTATAGTTTACCTGGGTTTGCTTTTTTTTTCTTTTCTTTCTTTTCTTTTTTTTGTTGTTGTCTTGTTAGATTGTGTTGATTTCTGGCAGGAGAGACAAACACAGACAGAATTTTATTTTTTAGCTGAGGTCTGCTGGAAGGGGATTTGTTGTTTAACTTTTAATGTCACAGCAGGAGAGACTGACATAAACCTTATGAAGCTGGTCTGCTGAGTTATTTGTGAAGCGTTCTGACAAAATGAGTTGCTTTTCGGATTTAAGCCTTAAGGAAATAGATACATCACACTTAAGGTGATGTTTTTACAATTTATAAGTAAGAATTAATAAAAGATAGGTTATCGTTAATGAATATAATGGCATCAACGGAAAATCTCAAAATTTGACCCTAATGTTGATTTTTGGCCAATATCCATTTGTTGATTGCGAGAAGTAACTCATTTTGTCAGTATGCCTCTCATTGGGGTTTTTTTGGTTCCCAACCTGCTTTCTGTGTCAGATTTTGTTGTATTTAGAGGGCTGGGGTTTGAGTTTGAGTTATGAGAAGCGCATGGACATAGGACCTACAAGTGACGCGCCCCAAGGTTATTGACTAAGAGGAGGGTTGATGTGGGATCCAGGAGCCATGTCTTCAAAATGACTTAGTGGCCTGTCTTTAGAATAATTGTTAGTGTTTTAATAATGCGTTATACCTCGCACTATGTCCTAAAATGTCCGTCCACAGGCAATGAACAGGTGACATTCTATGAGCTCAACTCTATGTATGGACATGACACCTTCCTCCTGGACCTCAATGGTGTGGGGGCAGCAGTCAAGGTCAGTGTCTGAGTAATCACTCTTTTCCTTTTTTTATTCTTTTGTTTTGTGCAGGTCAGGTGGTGAAATACACACGCTCTCTCATTTGCACTATTTTGCTCTCTCAGCCTCTCTTTCTGTCTCTCAGCCTCTCTCTCTCTCTTTCTCTCTCTCTATCTCTGTCTCTCTCTCTCTATCTCTGTCTCTGTCTCTGTCCCTCTCTGTCTCTGTCTCTCTGACTCTCTCAATCTCCATTGTCTTTCTCTGTTCGTCACCCACAACACACTCACACAGACACACATACACAAGCAGAGAGAGAGACTGCAAGGAAGTGTTAGCCTGTAGCATAAATGTCCTTTCGTTCAGCAAATTATTAGAACGCGTGGAAAGACAGCTAGCAAAATCCTGTTGTCTCATAAAGAGAGGTACACACACATAAGGCCTCAGGACGAGACATCATTCGTACATTCACTCGAACAGGTTGACGACTTTCCCTGAACTCTCACTCATGAACTCACGTACTACACATAACAACACACAAGGTTAGTCGCCACAAGCCTTAAGTTCCTTAACTAAGGAAGCCGAGTACATTTATAGTTAGTCAAAAACTTACAAACAGCAGAAACAAACTCTTCTCATCAGGAATTAATAGCCAGATCGGTGTGTAGACAGCAGTGTCAGTCCAGTTAGATGTGATCTCTAACTATAAAAGCTTTGCAAGTTCAAAGATGAATGGCTGTAGAACCAAGATTGCATTTTCAAAATGTTTACCCAATTTATGGGTGGTTGAAGGGTGCTTTTGTGTGGTTTGCTCCTTTTTGTCTATCAAACATTTATCATCCTTATCTCTCCTCCTTTTTGTCTATCAAACATTTATCATCCTTATCTCTCCTCCTTTTTTTCTATCAAACATTTATCATCCTTATCTCCCCTCCTTTTTTTCTATCAAACATTTATCATCCTTATCTCTCCTCCTTTTTGTCTATCAAACATTTATCACCCTTTTCTCTCCTCCTTTTTGTCTATCAAACATTTATCACCCTTTTCTCTCCTCCTTTTTGTCTATCAAACATTTATCACCCTTATCTCTCCTCCTTTTTGTCTATCAAACATTTATCACCCTTATCTCTCCTCCTTTTTGTCTATCAAACATTTATCACCCTTATCTCTCCTCCTTTTTGTCTATCAAACATTTATCACCCTTATCTCTCCTCCTTTTTGTCTATCAAACATTTATCATCCTTTTCTCTCCTCCTTTTTGTCTATCAAACATTTATCATCCTTATCTCTCCTCCTTTTTGTGTTTTTTTACTTTTTTTAAACACCTGTAATCTTCAGCTTTTATATAGGACCTTATTGTGTTGCAAGTGCTTTAAAACTCTTACTAAAATAAATTACTCAATTCCCAAATGTTCTGTGTCCTGTGATCACGAGACTCCTACTTAAGGAGTAAGCCTACCCATTATACTGACCTCGATTTCTTTGGTTTCAGGGATTCCTGGAAACGGAGCAGAGAGAAACTGGTTGGCTTACAAAGCACAAACTCCGACACCAGGAACGCAAATCATTCTAAAAACGTCTAGAGACTCAAATGTTTGTCAAATCCACTTTCCATCAAAGAAAGTCTTTTGATTAGATGCAATGATGAGGATTGTCACCTAGGGCTGAGTTGAAAAAGTTCCAAAATTTTTTCAAGGTGATTTTATTTCACCGACAGGAACTTGACGGTATGAAAATTAAGAAGCCTATTGACTATTGTATAGAGCCTTCCATTCCATTCACCAGGAAGACCTTTGTCACCTTTGAGGTCCTTGACAATGAGATACTCTAAAATATATATTTTAAAAACTTTTGCTGAGATATGATGCTCACAATGTACCCAAAACAACATGTTTTACATTTTTATAGTAAATGAATTGAAAAGTTGTATATATTCGATGAGTAATTTTTTTCCCCCACTTTTTGATAAATTGATATACCTCAAGTCTATCAAATGAAGAAGAAATTTGTGCAGTACCGGCACATGTCTTTGAGAGGCAGCTTTCACAGTATCTCTTTTAGAAATATCTTTTTGCCTATGACTCTGTGTTTTTCTCTCCAGTAAGAAAAAAAAAAGAAAAGAAGCATAAACAAGATATCTTTTAAACAGCTTTTCTCTTTGATGTTCTTTAAAGTCGCACTGGAAAAGTGGAGAAGACGGAATACCTTTTGCTGCTCTATTACCTTGGCTGGATGTTTTGTTTATTTTTAAATATCTGTCCAATGAAAACCAGGGCTCACATATTTCCACTCTGGGCAAGAGGTGCAGTTCTGATCTAATGAGAAGTGTACAATATGTGTGTGTTATGACACAGTGGAATTGAGTGTTTGTCAATTTTTGGGCTTATGGAATTATTAGCATCATCGTGAAACTTGTTCATTTGTCTTGCTTTTGATGAAGAAAAAAAACCCACCATTGTATCTTGAAGAGAAGTTGAGATATGTGTGATTGAAGTGGGTGGGGATTGCCTGGTGTCAGAGGTAAAATTAGCGAGAAAATGGTTTCCAAAGTTTGGTGACTTCCTAAGCCTAAGTTCCCTTAGAAACTGCTAATTTTATATTTATTGTGTCTTTAATGTATTTCAGTAATATTGACTTAGAAATGTGTACTTTTGAATGGATGGAAAAAGTATTTAGCCAACAACAAATTCTTTGATCCCCTAGAAATTACCCAAGGGGCAGGAAAATGTCTGTTTCTTCAATGTCATTATTTTGACAAGTGCCTGATTTCTCCACAATGTCACTCATCGAATTATTAGAATGCTCAGTGGAGTGTTTGAATATATACAATTTTCTAAAGTGCCATTACACATTGCATGTGATTTTTAATAAATTGTGATGTGTATTCTATGCTGGGTATCACTACGCCACACTGTCCATATCATTTTATTGATGGTATGGTAAGTAGGAGGAGGTTACAGTTTCTTTCTTATCTTTCAGCTAGCATTTTTTCCCCCTGCACATGCTTGTCTTATTGTTCACTAAGCAAATACTGTAGGACTTTGCTGCAGTTACAAATAATATTGTAGGGAAACAAAAGTCTCACTTCTCTAGATGTGTTAAATTGTTATTCCCATACAAGTGGGAAGATGTGTTGTTATTCCCATACAAGTGGGAAGATGTGTTGTTATTCCCATACTAGTGGGAAGATGTGTTGTTATTCCCATACTAGTGGGAAGATGTGTTGTTATTCTCATACTAGTGGGAAGATGTGTTGTTATTCTCATACTAGTGGGAAGATGTGTTGTTATTCTCATACTAGTGGGAAGATGTGTTGTTCTTCCCATACAAGTGGGAAAGTGTAGTGTGAGGAAAGCTTGGTGGATGTATTTTTAAAATAGAGCCATGCCAAAATCTGGCTGAGCCAAGTTGTAAATTGTGCTCCATTCTAAAGTTAACAGTTCTGAGACCCTTTGTTTCATTCCCCAAACGGAAACACTTTTAATGATTTTATTTATCTATTTAAAAAATTATTGTTGACTTAGTTTTTTTAAACCAGTCATTAAAGTATTACAGAGTTTGTAATAAAAAGATCAGAATAATTCAGAACCTAATTGATTTTGATTTTGCTTGTTTTTGGGTTTTTTTTAATAAGCCATTATAGAGCTTGTAAACATTTTAAAATATCAGTACTTGATTGATTTTGCTTTTGCTACCTTGTGGCTTTTGGCTTTTAACATTTTTATCTAATACTAATTTGGGGTAAGTTCGTAGTGAAGCTAACAATGGCAGAGATAGTTCTATTAGTCAATCACGCTGGCTTGTGTTCTTCTGATGCTGCGCAGTCTTACTCGGGATGCTGAGGTTGGAGATGTGCTTTTCACAGCCCAAAAAATTAGCTTGGATTTGAAAAGTCTAATGACTCTACTTTGTCGTAATATTAATATCATTTGTTCATTTCATAATTGCTTCGTTTGGTATGGTTTTGTTTTGTTCAGCTCTCTGTAATTAATTCGTCTGTGGTCCCTAGGCCCCCGCCCCCCACAGAACAAACAAAACCAAATGTGAGGCAGCGTGGTGGAATCAGGCTCTCGTCAATTTTTGGGCATGTAGAGTTATTGGTATCATCTTAGAACTTGTTCACTTGTCTTTATTTGGACGCAAAAAATATCCATTTATCTTGAATACAAGTTGAGATATTTGCAAAAGAAGGAGGTGAGGGTCACCTGTTTTCAGAGGTAAAATTAGTGAGAAAATGGTCGCCAAAAATTAGTTATTTCCTTAGCTTAAGAGTCCGTGGTAACTGAAGATTTACATTTTTTGTGCCTTTAATCAACGCTTTTCAGAAAAATCCACACAGAAACGAGTTCTTTAATGGGCATGAAAGATGTTGTGCCAAAAAACGAAAATTTGATAAAAATTCACGAACCTGCGGAAAAATGCAAATTTCTTCACTTTGAATATTTAGACGAGAGCCTGATTCCACCACGCTGCCTCACAAATTTGTTTTTGGTTTGGTTTATTTAATGGTCAGTTCTAACTCATGGTCTGAACGATTACTCCCTTGTGCTGTCTCCTTGACATGTTTGTTTAATTACATGCATATATATGTATACACAGTTGCTTCCAAAAGATGATTCACAAATGCTTCCTTTTTATTTCACTGCCGGTGTCTATAACCATTCCCATAACCAACTTTCTATCTTTCAGGATCCACAATCATGTTTTGAACTTAACCGTATTTTTGTGTTTGTTCATGTGTAAATGGGCACTTCCAAAGCTTCGGTAACCATAGGGAAATATTTGGTCTTCAATTACGACGGCTGAAGTGTTTTGTTTTCATTGCTAGTAATGGGGGTTTTTTTATGTGAAGAGAAACATAATTTGTTTACTTAAAGCTGACTCTGAAAACAAAAAGGAGGATCTGTCCATGTTCATATGTAAATATGTTGTTAATAGCTTGATTGCCATACATCAGCTGCCCAATATATAAAGGTTACGCTTACTTAGTTTCACCAGGATTACTTCGAGTTTTTATCGCTTGGCTTATTTCTTAATGTAACTGAAGCTTTCTGGTTTTGCATAACATTATTATTATATATAGATATCTAGTGTATTGCGTAGTTAACACTGTTTGCAAGTTTCAGTGCCTTGTTCACTTTCTCGAAAGATAGCCAAATGAATATGAGATTTTCCTCACTTCTCACAGATGGGAATGGGTACCAGGCTATAGATCTGGCGAAAGATCTTGTCAGTTTAAAAATGTTTAATTGGTTGCTTGCACTGTATGCTTCCTGGAAAACAGATAATTTTTCCGAGTGTTCTAGGATCTGGAGGAGTAATAAGATGGATGGTAAAGTGCATGGAGCTTATTATTGAACACGGATGTGCACAAACTATTTACCCGGTATTTATTATTATATATGCTATTTTGATGCTTAGTTTTCCTGTATGATTTAAACACAGTAGTTGTAAATTATATCATCTATTTAATGTTACGAAGGTTGACAAGTCATAAAGAGGGTCTTCTTTAGGCATCAAAGTAATTGTGTAGTATTTTGTGTATGTTGGAAAGAAAAAACATTTTTTCTTGTGTGAGAGTCGGTTTTTTGCTTCAGTTTTAATCTATATCCTTACAGAAATGTACAACTCAGCTGTGTGGCACAGTACATTCCAGAAGCATTTACTTGAGTTTTGTTTTAGTAGTTTTACTCTCTTATCACCAAAGTTGGGAATTATTTTTTGCTACGGAAATGTCAATCTTTTCCTCATCGTTAAGAATCTTAGCCTCTGATAAAATATATGCGTAAATACCTCCATTATTTAGGATAAAAAAACCCAGCCCTTAACATCAAGGCTACCGCGATGTTGGACCCACGAAGAATAGAGTCTGGATGGGCCAAATAGGTCAAGGTCAAGTAAGTTTCCAATGGAGGGCTGAAGCAGACTTTTACCTAAAATCCCATTTCTAGCACTTGTTGGCCTTCTCTGTTGTTATGTATATATATATAATATATATATACACATATATATATATAATATATATATATGTATATATATATATATATAAATATATATAAATAAATAAATATATATATATATTTATTTATTTATTTATATATATATATTATTTATGTATATATATGTATATATATAACTCATTTGCATTATCAGTTGTCTACAATTTGGATAGAATTGCTCAATTACATAAAGTGTTACTAACCTTTGTTGTCTAATTTTTCCTCACCTCAGCCACATTAAGTATTGTACTATTTCTCCTCAGAAATGGCATCAAGTTTCAAATTGTAGCATCATGGTTGTTTTGAAATATTATTTTAAATTCTTACTCCATGATTAAATAAAGAGTATTCAAAAAATGTGTTTCTGTCTCTAGAGTTGATTTTTGGTTTAGTTTATCTTTTTTTAGGTCCCAGCACCCTTTCTTTACATTTGTGACGACGTGGTGGAATCGAGCGCGCATCAGTTTTGGGGCATTTGATGTTGTTGGTATCATCTAAAAGCTTGTTTTATTTGTTGATCTTTCAAAGGAAAAATTACCCATCTATCTTGAATAAAAGTCGAGCTATTTGCAATTGAAAAAGGTGGGGATCGCTTTGATTTAGAGGTAAAATTTACACCAAAAAATTGCTGTCGAAGTTTGGCGACTTCCGTAATTTGAGAGTCGTTGAACTGAAAATTTAGATTTCTTGTGCCTTTAATCAACGTTTTATAGTAAAATTCACACCAAACTATTTTTTCAATGGACACAAAAAGCATTAATTAAGCCAGAAAACAAAAATTAATTAGAAATTGCCAAAAGGGCAGAAAAATGCCAGTTGCTTCGATTTCACTACCTTGACAAGCACCTGATTTCACCCATGACGCCTCACATTTATAAAAAGATGAACGGTTATAGTGGTTTCAAGTCTAACACGCAACGTACAGTATTAAAATGGGTTTTTCAAAAACTGCCCCTTACTGCAAAGCCAGAATGGATTTTTCTTTTTTCAATGTATCATCAAGTGTTGCACAGCGAAGTTTTGACACAAGTGATACTAGATGTACTAGTACACATATACCGGGCCATCTTGGCAGTCTTGGAAAGAGCCAAGCCGAGACGAGTTGGAGGGCCGTCGGGGTGAGC